TCGGAAGAGTTGTTGCTTTCACTTTCTATGCTAACATAATCGTTTAGGTCAATGCGATTTTAAAAACATGTTATTTTGGTCCAACAAATTTAAAATCAAGGATTGCATGTGCTCGGGAACTAATTTAGGTGCAACTGCTCAGTGCTCACTTTTGGGAAGAAGGGCCTATTTGTTTTTACAGAGTTTAGGTTAAAATTTCTTTATTCTTGCTGTTAGGTTCTTGAATTAAATAATGTTACATGAATAATTCTTAAATTTGAGCTTTGTTACCTTATTGTAATATTTTTGGAAATATATTTTAAAACATAATCCCATAATATATGATCTTGAAATTACTTCCAAGTAATATTAGAAAATGATTCTAATTGATGAAAATCAACACATCTTGAAAAATCAGTGTCTTCAAAAAATTCATTATAACTATTAATAAAGAAAATATCTTTTTAAATAATCACTTTCGTTTCTATTTTTCTTAGGACTTTCTTACTCATTCAATTACAATAATAACTTCTTTTTTATGGATAGAAGATAAACTAGAATATATATATATATATATATATATATTATATAAAATATAATTATTAGAAATATAAAGTATCTGGACCTTATAGTTTAATATAAAGGGGATGTGTATCATTTGCCATCAATAAAATCAGTGAACTAGTCTAAATAAACTACCGCTTGCACTGGATCAAGATAGATAATTATCAACTTGAATTATATCGTACTCATTTAGTCCAAATTGGCACTCCTAATAACGAATTGAACTAGATGAGCTAGGTTTGATATAATGTTGGAGTTATAAGTGAATAAAATAAGTCCCATCTAAAGTACAAACAAATAATATAAGTATCGTATAAAAGCACACAATGAATTTTGGTTAACTGTTGTGTCAAAGCACGAGTATGATTTGCTTATATTATCTTGATAATAATATAATATGAATAATAATAAAGATAAGAACTCTCCCTTATTCATCAAGGGTAGTAATGTGGTATTAACAATTTCTTTCTAAATATGTTACCGTCTAGAGCACACGTGCCTAAACATTTGAATTTCTGTTTAATCATAGTGAATTGAAGACCATCATTGAAAAAAAACATAATACGTATTGAAGTGATTCATAATAAGCAACTCTTCCTATTATGTTAAGGAGCTTATCTCTATCTTTCCCAATGGTGACTGTCACGTGGAATGTACCATGGCTAGTAGCTACAACCAGAACTTCTCAAACCACTAGAATCGGCATGATAACGGAAAATTTGAGATAGTATGTATGAGATTAGATTTTGGCTTCAATACAACTGCAACTAATAAAAGAAATGGGCACTTCTAATTCTATTTGCCCTTCAAGAATTCCAGCAATGTGAGGAATATTCACTGGCTCGTAAAAAATGTAGGAAATGGAATAATAGACATGGAAATTAAATATTTTTGATGTGGGGGCACCTTCATCTTTTATAAATAAATAAATAAATAAATAAAGCTAAAAGCTAAAAAAAAACACTAAGGAAAAAGTCTAATAAAATGTATTAAAATAAATGATGTACCTGATAAATAAATAAATAACTAAATTAAGGTATAATATACTGAATATTTTCAGGTGAAAAATGCAACTATAAGTAAATAATAGGGAAGTATCTTTTACCCCCTAAAAATTCAGTAACATGTCAACATAATATTGATAAGGTAATAAAAACTGAAAAACACATCACAATTGTAATATTAAGTTTGTCACAAAACTACGCTCAGACATTTCACCAAAAATCCTATGCTCAGACAGCCGAAGAGCAAAACCAGCTAAAACTTGGCAGCAAAATTGTTAGCAAAATTGTTTAATAAAATTTAGGCAGTTGTTTCATGTTGAGCAGCCTGCCTCTTTCTAGCCTCCTCGATGATAGACAACTTGATACCCCGGCCTTTGGGAAGAGACACCCAAGGCTTTGTCCCTTTGCCAATAATGAAGACATTACCCATGCGAGTTGTAAACTCATGACCAGTAGCATCCTGGATATGGATGGTCTCAAAACTTCCCTTGTGCTTTTCCCGGCTCTTGATGACACCGACACGACCTCTGTTCCTTCCACCGGTAACCATGACAACATTTCCTACATCAAATTTGATGAAATCAGTGATCTTGTTGCTCTCCAGGTCCAGCTTGATGGTGTCATTAGCCTTGATTAGAGGATCGGGATAGCGGATGGTGCGTCCATCGTATGTGTTCAAATAGGGAATGCCCTTTTGCCCAAATTGAACAGATCGCACCTTGCAGAGCTTGAACTGCAATAAGACAGGCAAAAAACGTAAAATCACTAGAAGGAAAATTGACAGAAAAACATTGACACAAGATCCAAAAATACAAAGTTATAGTACTCAAACGTGTCAACTAGCACCTCAAGATACTTTATATACACAATTATGCTATGCTAGCATCCTACATTTGTGTTTAGGAAGTCTGACAATATAAGAGATATCCTAAACAAATTTTCAATTTAAACTAGGCATCGTCAACATGCATTAGTAAATAGTGATGCGAGATACAGTAGAGGAAGCACACATTTACCATATACAAAACCAGTACACGGGGAAAATTCTTTAAAAGAATAGACATTTGAGATTATGCAGGATTAGACATACCTTTGACTCTTCGTCCCTTACAGAGTGGAGTCGGAAACGACCCTTTGTGTCATACAGAAGACGGAAACTTTCATTTGTTTTGGGAATGGAAACAACATCTGGTCAAAGCAGATGTTAGAACAAATTAATCACCAAGGAAAATGCAAAATCAAGTATTTTTATAAAATTGTCTGATACTCAACTTCAAATTCTCTACAATATTATACAAAAGTGGCAATATTGTCCAAATATTGAGATAAACAATAATTTAGACATCACAAATAACACTATATGGCAACCAAGTTTAAAAATGTACATACCCATGAAACCAGCAGGATATGTCTTGTCAGTCCTAACCTTGCCATCAACAAAAACATGGCGCTGCATCAAGATGGCAATAACTTCTCTATATGTTAGAGCATACTTTAGTCTGTTTCGCAGGATTAGGATCAAAGGCAGGCACTCCCTTGACTTGTGTGGTCCAGATGATGGCTTGGGTGCCTGCACAGCCAGGCCAGAAGGGTATATGAATTCAAATGGAAATTACAAATATAACCGAGTTAAATAACATTACTAACACAAGAGCTATGAGTGAATTACATACAAAGGCACCACCAAGTTTGTCTAGCATCCAATGTTTTGGTGCATTGAGCCTCTTCAAGTGTTTCTTCAATCCTCTAGCCTGAAATACATGAGAAAATCTGCAAATTAAAATGAGGTCGCAGTTTAAGATATTAAATATTCCTAACAATTACACCAAGCCAGTCACAGTAAACCAGTATTTTAAAAACAAGACTGAACAGACCAGTCTGACAATTCAACCATTAATCGAACTGTTGTTCAGCCTAATAAGGCCTTACAAACTGTCAAATAGAATCTGTTATCAAAACCATTGAACAGGCAGAAAACTGGTCAACCATACAAACCAGTCAATGTGATCACATGCCAGCTCTATGTTCAAAGATGAATCGAACACAGCTCCCTAGGTTTACTCACACGTGCCAGTTTGACCACAATTGACCATTAAACCAAAAATTAGTACTCAAGGTATTAAATTGTAGTTGCAATCGCCATTTGGTTTTAAATTGCAGCCGCCATTGCAATTGTCACAATCACAATTGCAATTGACATGGTTAAAAACAGTTCTTTCAAACCTTGCAATTCGATAACTAAACAAGTCTTATAAAAAAGCACCGCCGTAAACAAAATCCGACAAAATAAGAATAAAAAAATCACAAAATTTGTCAAGCTGCACCCACCAAAAAAAAAACACGAAAAAAAAAAACAAAAGAGATGAATGTAGAACATGAACAACACTAGGAGATGGAATTTCAACCCAAAGTCAATCATTCTAAGTGAGGGTCAAATTTCGTTTTGGGCAAACCCTTCCTTCCTTTCTTTCACTCTTTCAGTTCCATCAAACGAACAAAAATGAAATGAAGGAAAATAAGCGAAATGAAAACGACAAGTTGAGGGCAATTAACCATGTTGGAGGCTTCAGCTCTTCAGAGAACAAGTTCCTCTGCGCGCGCCTGAATGAAGAGAGATACCCAAAACCCTAACCCTTGTAGGGTTCTGTTCGTGTGTATATATAGATATCGTACACGGAGCCCCGTGACCCGTTTGACCCGTTTCGTAAGGGTACCTTTTCTATGATATCTAGTGTTGGAGTAAATATAGTGTGAATGTCATACATGTCGGGATTATTTTTTGGTTAAATGCATCAATATTTTTTATTACATTTTAAAATTTGTAATTGAGCTTTTAATTTTTTTTTATTTTTTAATTGAATCTATGAAGTTAATTTGATGGGTTTAAATCATTACAAAAGTGACAAATTGTTAAAATTTCATTAAAGAACTTAAAGACTAAATTACAATTTTTTATTTAGTTTAAAATTTTAATTAAAAGCTTTTGAAAATTTCAAGATTAAATGATGCATTAAATTAACAAAAAAATATAAGTATTTTTATATAAAAAAATTGAAATATTTATAAATTAAATTGTAAAAATCATATCTTATTAACATCTCTAAAATATTTGTTTAATTTATGTATAAAATAATTTTAATTTATAAAAAAATTAAAATTAATTTATAATTTTCTTTTACGTAAGAGAATTATCGTAAACATCTTATTATCCCTTTTTTTTCTTTATAAGCCAAATAACAAGTATTATATATAACATGGAAACACTAGAGGTACTAAATTACATTAAAAGTCTCAAAACAAGACTAAATAATAGCCTACTCTAAATTGTTTAACTTATACCTTCATAGTTATAATTAGGGAGATACTTCAGCATTAACAAAAATAAAGTAACATAGTCATAAAACTAATTAGTGTTCAATTCTATTAAATATTTTATTGTCCTTTCACTCACTTATATTAAAAGAAGGGTAACATCTCACTCTTATTACTAAGCTTGTGTTTGGAAAAAGAAGAGTTTATTTTAACATAACCTACATTCAAATTAAAGCAAGTGTCATATTGCTTTTTACATTTTATGCATTACAAAGTGTAAACTCTTGTTTCAAAGCTCTCAAAATGATAAATCAAATATATCGTTACACCTTTAACTCTCTGGTGGTTTAATCCTTCCCACAACCATGGAAAAATATGGTCTACATATATAAAATCTCAATCCATAATGGTCCTAAGGCCTCTTGGATAAAAGGGGATCAATAGCCTATGGTTTGTGAACAAATACTTTGGGTTTAAGTGTGACCACTGACTTATGTGGTGCGTTAGCAGCATTGGCTCCTATTGTATTATAGCAAAATTATCTTTGAAAGTTGAAGTAGTGAGTTTTTGACACTTAGCTTATACAACCTCTAGTTGTATCTATCTTGGAAGCCCTAGAAGCAACCTTTCTTGAATATCAACCAAATTATGTACATAACATATTTTACCAAAACTAGTTAAAATGAATAAAAGTTTAATAAGAATGAATAAAAAGTTAAATAAACAACAAAAATTAACAAATGAAAATGTATAGTATACACAATAAAAACTAGTTTTCATTGTACATATTATACACAATAGAATCTAGTTTTTGTTAAGCATCACTTACACAATGAAAAATTAATTTTGTTGCTTATCAAAGTACATATACAAAACAAAAATTAGTTTATGCCTTATCGGTGAGAAGTGTAAAAAAAAAACTAAAATGAAATAGAAGAAGAAAATGTTAGTATGTGAAGAAAAATAAAAGAGAGAGAAGGGGGGTTGTTAATGGTGTGTTTGGAAAAAGAAAAAAGTAAAGAAGCATGAAGAAGTGAAAAAAAGTTGAAGAGGGAGAAGGTGTGAATCAAGATAGGAAGAAAGATGTAATGACCTGTCATGGTCCCTACATTCAGTAAAATCGTACTAATTACACTAGTTAACTAAGAGAAGCTCTTAAACTAGATAACAAAATACATACATATATATAAAAGTAATAATAAAACTACACCACTATGTACAAAATGGAATACTATGTATATACAGTCATCCAAAATAACATTGCTCTCCTAGTGCCAATTAAGGACATCCTACCATTTATCCAAGACAGTAACCCTAACACTAGGATAAAACTCCAGCATCCAACAACAGTCATTGCACCCAGCTCCAACCTAACTCTAACCTACTCTCATACAAAGTATGATCATCGTAGTCTATCCACATGAAAATAGAATGGAAAGCTAGAGTTCAATAAACAACCATACAAGTACAAAATAATAATCTATACTACATATTCATCCAATCATGTCCTAAGGGACATCCATTTCCACTCAATCATCAGCTCAACAATCATGAAGTCAAACAACATACACTTCATCATAATCAACAATTATGTAATAAATGCAACTCATGACAAATATGAAAGTATATCAATCATCTAATGCATCGTCACACATTCACCTAGGAGATCTCCCTAACAACAGAGCAGTATAAGTGACATCTCATCCTATCGAAATCACCCCGACTGCTTTTACGCCTGAAGCACCCTGTTGAGTCAACAACAAATCAGGATATCAAATCCCCCAAGTGTTTACTCAGATAGTGTCACTTACATATTTGGAAGTTCGACTCCACTATCTAGAATAGTACAGCTGGGTATAAGCTTACCACAACCTTGACATGCATTACCAAGTCACTTATGGATTTCGCCCACCACCTATCAGCTAGGAACAACAAAACCTTTCCTAGTACTTGGTTAAGGGAATAACCCTCGATCTCATACCCCACTCCAGTACTAACTAAGGACTTAAAGGAGACTCATCCAAACTAGTGGCCTATCCAAGCACCACTCTCATTTATACCGTTGGCCTATCCAAGCACCACTCTCAAGAGACTCTATATGAGCTCTTCTAGTTCAAAAACATTTTTCCCTCTCCCCAACTCCTGGGCTAGACACATGCCATAAGGCATCACATGTAATCAATGCATCATACATCATAAATGGTCAATCTTCCATCATGATCAAATTCATCCTCATATGAACATACATACCAAATCATGTTTAAACATTCATATATATCATTCCCAACCATACATATGAACCAAGCACTAATTTACATTATATATCAAACATATATGAACCAATCTTAAACATTACAACATGCAAAAGCATCACAACCCAACCACAACAGCAAAATACAATTCACGCCCAGCACAGCTCAGCTCGCGTTCGACCTAAGCTCAACTCGAGAGCTCCAAGGCTCTCTCATGCCTAGTGTCAGGGTACCATGCTTGGCGTCGATCTGGTAGAGATTCCCTTAAAGAATCACGCCTGGCACAACTCACCTTATGTCTAACGTCACAAAGTTAGAGACTTCCTGGGGCAGTCACGTCCAACGCAACCAACCTTGCGTCTGACACCATATCAACAAAATTCCATCCATGCCATTATTTGATATCGTCCCCAACGTGGCCTTCTTCACGCCCGACAACATTCGTCCAAAGGCTTTCCTTTCAAATCACGCACAGCAAGACTAACCTCGTGCCCGCCGTGATCGTGAATGGCCACCCCTGATGAATGCACGCTCGACTAAGGGTGGGTATACAGACTGGTTCAGCCCATTTGAGGCCCGGTCCGTAAAACCCGTGTTTTATACAGACTAGACTTATCCAGTCCGTAAAGTAAATGGACTTTTTTTTAAGTCCGTATCTGGCTCGCCAAAATTCACGGATAACGGACCGGTCCGCGAATTTAAATAATGGTTCAAAAAATAAATTTTTAAAAACTAAAAAGACATAAAGTTAGAAGAAACATAGTTTTAATGTCAAAATGGTTTTTATTTATAAACTAAATTTCATCACACTAAAATTTATCAACAGTTAAAATAATTTAAAATATTAAATATTAAAATAAAAATAATTACAAATACTTATATAATAGTACCAAACTTTCAATAATAAAAGCATCAAAATGTCATAAAAATAATTTAAATGACAAATACGTACTAACTAAACATAGTTTTAATGTCATAATAATTTAAAAGATTAAATACATAACTTAATATTAAAGTCTTAATATCTAAAAATATTAAATAGTGAAGTCCGCGGACTAGCCCGCGAGTCCGTGGATTAAATATGCCGAGTCCGCAGACTTTATGAGCCGGACTCAAAAATCAAACATAATCATACAGATTTGGAAAAAATGGGTCCGTTATCCGCGAAATTCGCGAGCTTACGGACCGGTCCGCGAACCTGGATCCATATACCCACCCCTACGCCCGACGCCATGAAGGCGCACCCGACGTAAACTCATACAATGGCACTCCAACTTCGAAAATTCAAGCACAAACTTGCAATCTTAGTGAATCAATCACATGAAATCCATCCAAAATAACCAACAAACTCTAGAGAATCCAAATAATAACCTCAAAATCAACATGCACCCACCTGATGCATCAGAATCACTAAAACTCCATTTTAGCCCAAAAACCCGGAAATGGAAAAATCCCTCAAATCAACCATTAAATCCGTAATTCATGCATCAATTGAGTTTCTAAAACTCACATGCAACCAATCTACAACATCCTAACTTCCCTCACCAAAATATTGACTCAAAACAACCAAGAAAAGAGGAAGAAGGAGAAGAATTCCCGAAACTCGACCTGCGAACTTCAATCAGCCAAAATCAAGCTTCCTAACCTGAATTAAAAAAAAAAAAGACAGAAGAGATTAGTGATCTAGAGAAAAAGAGGAATCAAACAAATAATTTTGGGAGAAAAAGGAGCTTAAGGACCTATAGTCCTTCTCTATAAGTTTTTCCTAAGAATGAGCTTATGAGATTCTATTCTCAAATAAAACCTTATATACTTTTTTCTCTAGCTTCCTCTAAACCCTAAACGATTAACTTACCGTGTTACAAAAGAAAAAAAAATTGAAAGGAAAATGAAGAGTGGAAAAAAAAGAGGTAAAATAAGAAATTAAAAAAAAATTGATGGCAAAAGAAAAAGGATGGGTGTTTGCCTTTGGAGTTTCAATAGATTAGTTTTACAATATTATTCATTGCACCATATGAATATATAAAGATAAATACTAAATAGAAAATCAAATGGTATTTTTTATTATTTCTTACACTAATAAATAAAAAGTATGATTAGGTAAATCATTCTTTCTTATTTTTAATATATTATTGTTATATGTATCATCTATCATATAAAAGAATGTAGAAAACAAGATTACATTAACAATAAATAATTAATACATTTATGATTATTTTAATCTCTAATTATAACATGTATAAAATAACAAATAATAAAGTTAGAAATATCTAGATAAACATTAAACATTGTCAATTTGATTTTTGTGATGGATGAAAGAAAATGAAAGAGAAAAATTATTTATATCTCAGTGAGTATATTTTACTCTGTGAAATATCAATAGAATAATTACACTACAAAATGATTAGAAACAATTCTCTCTTCTTATTATATCAATATAGATTCATTTATCATCATAATAAATTTATACTAGTCTCATTGCATTAACACATTATCAATCATTATTATATAATAATAATAATTTAATATTAATCTAAAAATATTAATATAATGATAACAAAATTGAAATTGACAACTATATACTTTAATATTTTAACATATAATTAATCTGAATTTTAGAAAGAATATAATAACGTTAACTATAATTCAAATAATCAAAAAATTATTTGATGAGCTAATAACGTGTAATGTTTTTTTTTATCTAGTTAGCATGCCATATGCTTCTCATTAGTTTAAAAATTTGATATTGACATGAGTTCAAATTGATATGATAATTAGATTTAGACACATAAAAATCAAAAATTTGATCTGATATTTTAAATTTATTTATTTTTGTATTGTGTAATTTTATAATCGACTTTTTAGGATAATTATTATATATTATATATTAAATATAAATAATTAACTTGTATGAAATTTTTTTAAGAGTTATTTTTTGACAAGTGTATTTTTAGGTCTTTTTATTAATTTATTTTTTATTTATCATATTTATTTATGAATTAAATTTTAATATTTTAAAAATAAACTATCAATAATTAAAAATAATATTATGTTACAATATAAATTATTTATCTTATATCGAAAATATAGTTTATATGTTTAAAAATATCTATTTATACAAATTATAAACATAATTTTTGGCTTAACGTACTTTTTTAATTTTTATAATTTCACTTACTTTATCTTTTAGTCTCAATATTTATCTTTTTTTTAATCCTTATAATTCAATATAGATCTGTTTGGTTTATATATTTGTAGTATTTTAATCCTTATAGTCCTTGATGTTAATTTTTTTTTATAACATTATATCATTTGTGTTTTTTTCTTTTTTGTTGACATGACAAAGATATTCAACTTTGTGTTTTTAATGTCAAATTTATTTTGTTGATGACTTTTTGTGTTTTTTTTTACTCTCATATGTGACGCTCATTATTGAGATATTTTTTCTTTACTCTTACAAAATTAAACAACTCTATCACATTAACACAAAAGACAACATTAAAAAAAATGAATTTAACTAAGATTAATGGTTGTAACTAAAAATAATTAAAAAACGTAAGTGATTAAAAATTGAGACGCTTATAACAAAAGACACTCATCATAGATACTTATAAAAATTAACAACAGTAACTAAAAATGATTAAAAAGATAAATATAAAGACTAAAATGATATATCTTAAATTATAAGAACTCAAAATATTAATAAAAATAAATATAAGAACTAAAAAATTTATTTTAAACTACAAGAACTAAATGATAAAATAAACAAAATTATAGGGATTAAAACATAATTTCAACCTAATTTTAATATTAAAATATAGTGTTTATTTGTTTATAAAATTTATAATAAATTTTATTTTTATATAATAAATATTTAATCTACGAAATATATAACTAAAATACTAGTTATTCATTAGTTTTCTTTTATTATATTATGATTTCTTAATTTTTGCTACATTTTTTTCTAATTTGTTTTATTGACTTGACGACCAACTTAAATATAGGCCTATTTTTTTTTTATAAAATAAATTAATTAAAATTTTATTAAATGAGTTCATGTAATAACTTGGTACGAGTACTTAAAATTCAATAATACTTTTTTTTTTTTAATGTTTGAATATATATGTTGTAAACACGTAATTTTAAAATGTTTAGATACATTATTGCATAAACACTTATAAGATTATTTCATTTTAAAAGTTTTAAAAAATCAATCATGATGATATGTAAATTAAAATTTTAGAAATTAACTAAGTAATTATATACAAATATTATGGTCTCCTTATTTATCTTTAAAATCTTTTAATAAAGTAAGTAATTTTCTATTAACATATTTGTTTAAACTCCATTTCAGGAACGAAAAAATAACAACTTTCTGCTTCTATTAAGACAACTCATATATGTTTATTAAAAAATCATTATTTTTACACTCACCTTTTACTTATTTTTAGTTTTTAAGAAATACTAAGATCATAGTTAAAAAATGAGACACAAAACAAATTATCCATGCACCTGTCAATAATTTTAAAAATTAAATTTTATTGATCAAAAACATTATTAAAATAAAATTTGAAGTGTTAAAATTAAAATATATACATGTTAAAATTAGGATACAAGCTTAAAAAATACCATTCATTAGTTAAAACAAATATATTGTAAACAAATAAAGCTTAAATATTTTTTTAATCTATATAATTTTCAAAATCTTATTTTAATCTATCAAATCATCAATAATATATTAAAAAATTATAGATTAAGATAATTATGCAATATTATCTGAATTTAATACAATATTTTCACTAATAGAAATATCAATAAATACATTTTATATGACGATATTTAACAGACTTTCTATCAAAATTTGAATATAAAAACTAAAATATAATATTTTAAAATTACAAAAACTAAAAAGATCAACTTTAAATTTGAGGACTCAAACAAAATTACCCTAAATTTAAAAGAACTAAAAATATATTTAAATCAAAAAATAATTTTGTTTACTAGTAATGCATAAAATACATTACTAACAAAATATAAAAATATAAATTTATTCAATTAAAATATATTTTCGTAGTGAAAAAGAAGGAAATATTGGAAATATAAATTAATTACTAGAAACAAATAATTATAATTTATGTTGTGTAAAAATTAATATTTATATCGAGCTTGAGCTTAAATTTATTTATTTAGCTAAGTGAAAAAGTTTGATCGAACATTTAACAATTTGAGCTTAGATAATTATATCCTAATTGTATTTTAATTCGAGGTCAAACACCTAAAAAAGCAATGATAAGATGCTGGAGAATATTTTCATTCATTGCTCACCGATGTATACATGCCAATATTTAACAATATAACTGCTCTAAGAAAAACAAAAAATACTACAGCCAATGGCAGATAGCATTCTTATTTCATGATATCTGTCTCAGCGTCCTTACCCTGAAATAAAAAAAATAAAAATAAAAAATCCTGTTGTTTAGTGTTAAATGAATCAATCAGATTTTGCCCAAGAAAAATATTTGAGAACCCTATTAGAGACGTTACTGCCATAACCAAGCATGCAACATCATTTAACCACACTCGTGAAGCTAAGATGTTAAAAGCCCATCTAGATAGAAAACTCAAAAATTTTTTAGAAAAATTCTTGCATACAACAAAAGGTAACGCATATAATTATGTCAGTAACCAAATTAGCGTGTTTATATGTCAACCAAACCTCAAATAACTGATGGAAAATTAACCTTTGCTGCCCCCCAAGTTCCATTTTCATCATTTCAGTGGTAAATCAATTTTTTTTTTTTTTATAACAATGTTACATTGGTTAGTTCAAAGTAATTAAATTTAAAATTTTGCAACTGCTCACATTATCAGATACAATAGTCTTACCATATGATCTGCAGAAATCATGTAAGAAATGATGCTAAGGGTCATATGGTTTTTCAGGCCATACATACTCGGGCAACCCAGCTTTCTTACGAGCTTCTCTTTTCTCTTTGTCTTTCTGCTCCAGCCTTTTATCAGTTCTCTCTATAAAATCCTGCTTGACCTTCTCCATAATTTTATCAAAGCCAGCAATTGAATTCTCCATATGTTCGTACAACTCATTGTTAAGATCATCAAATATCTTATACAATCTCTGAAAACATGCAAAGAAAATGAAAATTCATTTTACAAAATAAGCAAGTTATGCCAAGGGTTAGCAATTAGCATTGTAGTTGCACAGGTACTATAAGGATATGTTTGAAAGTTGAGTTTTGGAGGGAAAAAGGGGGTGGGGGAGATATTTTATTTGTAAATTAAGAGTTATATAATGTGTATAAAATAAACAAAATATTTCAAACATTAAGTTTAATATATCATTTTATTTCTTTATTTTAAAAACTCATCAAATTGGACAATATTTATAAGAAATGAAAAAATTGTTCTAACTTTCCTTCCCCTCCAAAACCTAAACTCCTAAACATACCCTTATGTACCAGCACTCCAGAAGCATGTTTCGGGTATTTGCCAAAATCACAGGCTCGTGACAATTGACATACACATAATCTGAAAATCTTTAGTTTACATAAGGCAACATTAACATTTGGGATGTTCATTAGATTGAATTTTTGAAAAATTCATACTCAACCAAATTGATCTATTTTATAAAAGTGGATCGGTTAACTGATCTAATTTTTATAAAGTAGATCAATTAACCAAACCATTTTTTATAAAGTAGATTGTTTCGATTATTTAAAAATATGGATCATTTTTTTTTTAATTGGATCAATTCAATTCGCTGCAGTTATCCATTTTATACCCATATATAGATAAGTTTTTTAAGAAAATAGAACAGAACCAAACTGATTAACTTTATTAAAATAGATTGGATAACCGAATTGGTTTTGCAAAGTGAATCGATTTGAATTTTTCTCAAAACAGATAAGATTTTTTAATGCGGATTGGTTTGAATTTTTTGCACATTCCTAATTAACGAAACTGGACTGTATCATGTATTAGGTCTTGTTGAGGAAGGAAGGGTTTCTAGAGAATGGGAATTGGGATGTCGGAGAGTGGTAGTTAACAGTTGACTTCCTGTTGTTTGGATATTTGACTACGGATAAGGAGAGACTGGTGCTGAGGCAGTATGCGGGGAGAATGATGGCAGGGAAAGGGAAAGTTGTACAAGTACAAATTTACTCTCTAACAAGGGGAAAAAAAGAAATAAAGCAGAAAAGTTGTTGTAAGGAAGGTAAAAACTCTAACCACATCAAAGAGAAAGTAAAGAAAGGGAAAAAAAGAAAAAAGAGAACTCTCAATATAGGTAATAAATGAATCCAAAATGCTCTGATGAAAAGGCATACCATAACATCATTATTCCAGTGCTGAAGGTACGGGGGACCAGTGGTGTATGAACCAAGTGGTTCACGGTACCATTCACCGTTAAATGTTAATCGATCCATTGCTTGTTCTACACTCAGAACTTCCCATGGCCTCAACCCTGGAATAACTTCAGCCAACTTCTTTCTGCCTCACACAGCAATAAAAGCAGGGGGGAGAAAGGGCAAGAGTTAGAAACCATAACAAATTGCTGAATATAGCAATCACAATTCACTGCTATTTATGTTACAGTCCCAGCATGAGCATACCTAAGATGTTTCGGGATGTATTTGTTGGGCATGTGATCCTGTTCCAACATGTTCGTCAGTTCAGAGCCACTAGCCCAGAGAAATAGGGCATGACTTGGAATTCTAGCTCCGGGCCAAAGGCCATCATTAGCTTCCAATACTGCTAAATCACGTCTCTTGCTTTCCATAGCCTCTTCTTGAAGTTGCTTGTAAGTCTTCTTTTCAAATCCCTTGAGAGGAACCCAAGGTGGTATACCCTTTTGCAGTTTGTGAAGCAACGCTGTTGCTGAAGCAGCAAGTCTAACTAAAAAATTGCCCAACCAGGAATCAGTTTTTAGTAAATACCACGGCAAAAGGGGCCTGCCATTTTGGTTTCGTATTTGCTCTCTTTAATACTGAAAAGATTTATCATTTATTGATCTTTGTTCAACAACGTATGGAAACTTGTGCAAATGAATTGACTTCGATACATTGCTCTATTTGAACCATGTAGAAAGAATCTCCCAGCCAAAATTGAAACCCCAAGTAACAAGACATACTAAACAGTTATCAAGATTTCATAAAAAACTAGTACACGTTATATTCCAATTTTTAGGATGTTGTAACAAAAGTACAGAACAGGTTCAAAAACAGTTCCAGATAACCTCATATTCTTGGTTTTATAGATCAATAATGAGAGAGGACAAGACCATAAATTTGGAAAATCAGGAAGAATAATTCCTCCATCTCATAAATTTTACTCAGGGTCTGACATTCAGAGCAAAAAGCCACCAGTGATATGCTATGAAGCACGGATACTTCAATTTATTTCACGTATCCGTATCCGATACGTATCCAACACGATACTCTTGGATACTTCACCGATACGTGTCAATGAAGTATCCTAGCCTTTAAAAATATTATAAAAATTTTATTCAATTTTGATACTTTCAGATACTTCACCGATATTTATTAGTGATACGTATCGATAAAGTGTTCAAATTTTTGAAAAAATTATGAAATATCCATTACAGCTAAATAAGATATATAAACATGTTTAATATAGAAACATAGAACTATTGGTCCTTGCTGAACTATAAATGAAAATTGTCTTCTATATAGATAATTTTAAAAAATGAATGAAATTGGTAATATTAATTCTATTTGCAAATAATAAAAAGTAATTTATGATGAAATTACAAGTACACATTTATTATATTGTATGAACATTGATATATATGATGACACGTATCTTACAAGTATCGTATCCTATATATTTTTAAATAATCGTATCGCCGTATCGGATACGTGTCGTATCCGATACGCGTATCGTATCGGTGCATCATAGGTGATATGTAGGGCAGAGCAAAATACCATACAGGTCCAAAGTTTTGATTGTACGAGGTACTAGTCCATTAATCTTATATATTTCCACTTCACAGTCACAGGCTCATACAAAAGCAAAGGCTCAAATTCTTTATTTTGCAGGAAATTATATATATTATACTTTCTACTTTCCAACTCTTCCTATTATTCACCAATCATCATAAGGAACAGTGCCAAAATGATTAAAAGCATATATAAATGTTTTCGACTGAGAGATAAGTAAAACATGACCAAAGATTGTTTCCGCCAAGGATCGAACTTAGATAATGTCCAAACATTTTGATTTTAGATTCAGTATATTAACCACTTGTGCCTAACTTCTTGGTTGTATATGTATGTTTTAAGCTTATAATTTATTATAGACTCTGCTCAAATCTAAACAATAAAATATCTTATATATCAAGGAAATAGAAAGGATGGAATTCAACTGACCTTCCCAAGTAGCGATTGCACGCTCCATTCCATAAATCATGTGGATGGGTGCCCATTCATCCATATCCTCTCCCCAAATGAAAGTGTTCTTATCAATAATCCCAGCACCCCATGCAGTTTTAAGTGTAATCAACTCCAACGGTCCTCGTGTGCGACCCAGCCGATCCTTATAGTACCATCCACCACTCCTCATGATAACTAGATCAGTTAGAACACGGAAGCAACATCAAACGACCAAAACTAAAGCAATGAGAAGACACATTGATTAATGGAATATTTACATCCAGAGCTTGATATTTTATTACAAAACCTTCAACATGCATAGATAATATTGATTGGATATCTCACATTCAACTCCCATTGTTATAGTAATTAATATATAACCACAAAATGTTCCCAACCATCCTTTCAGACTAATCAATATTTCTTTTGTTTTTAGCAAATTAAAACTTAAAGTGGTGTTGGAGATCCCAATCCCATATCAACTAGGAAAAAGATCATAATAGTGTATATAAATGGAGAGCAATTTTGACCTTACGAGAAGATTTCGTAAGGTTGAGTTAAACTCAAAATCACTTTTTTAAGATGATATCATAGTCTATTCTAACAATTTTTGTTGGGCCTATTGTATCAATTGTTATCGGACCGCTACATCCACAATTGTCTAGTCCTGAAATTGATGTTTAGTCCTTGGCGTGTGAGAAAAGTATTGGAGATCTCACATCAACTAGGAATAAGTTTATAATAATGTATATAAGTGAAGAGCAATCCTCATCTTACAAGCCAGTTTTATAAGGCTGACTTAGACTCCAAACCACTTCCTTAAGATGGTGGATAGGTCATCCAACAACCAAGTAGGGAGCACCACAATAGGTGAATGCCTACCAATTCGAGATCATATGGAAGGATAAATAGTTTTTTATCAACGCTATTCATTCCTACCAATTAACCCCCATCAGTAACATAGATTGAACATTTCAGCACAAACATTCAAGCACATATTTCACCAAGAGTGGAACCCAAGACCTTATAGAACTTGAACAACTTTTTTTGTCAATGCTATTCAATCCCATCAACCTACTAATTAAGCTAACCCTCATTTGGACACTATTTTGATTAGCTTATTTTGTGTTCAAAACAAGTTAAAATCAAATCTTATTGAAGCTTTTAAAAAAATAAACATACACGTAAACATGGTTGAATGCAATAGAAGCCTACGTCAATCCTTGATGAACTTTACATACAGCATCAGTTGGGATCATAGTGTAACCATGCTAGAAAAGGATTTTCCTAACTACACAACAATATTTTCACATTCTTACTCCCCCTTAAAATGTTTTTTAAGCTTTCTTTTCAACAACTGGGGTGCTTTTCTAACTCTTCTCACCATCGACACACTTGGTTTTAAACACTCACTCAACATTCTCAACTCCGTCAATTACTGATCTTAACTCCATCTCTAACTCTAACATCACACTCTTAAAGTCTTTTCAACTATGGAACTCAATAATATAATTTTCAAATGAGTTACATACTAAATTCAAATTCACAGCAAATTGATGAAGAAATTATTAGTGGTTAGTATTTTTCCATTTAGCTCTAAGAATTAAGGATTCAACTCTAAAATAAGCAACTTACTTTAGAGGATAAAATGCGTAATCTCAGTTGTTGGTGAAAAAAATATCAATGGTTGATTTTATATGCACATGCATAATAAATCATGAATGTACTGTAACATCATTTTATTTTCTAATCAATGATTGAGATAACTTTACCCTTAAGAAGTGCTAAATCCAATAATTAAATATTTTCTTAGTTTAAAACACTGTGTTATATTTGCAACATTTGACACGTACTTCCATTTGCAACATGTTACTTTGTGTCTTTTCTAAATTCAGCACTTCAACATAATCTTTTTTATGTGCAAAATGCTGCTTCATGCTGTATAATATCCTTGAGATTTTGATCCAGGTAACCAGCTTCACCTAATGGGATATAGCTATTGTTCATATAATTTAGACTTAAGACCAAACTCAACCTCAGCAAAACTAACTTGAAAGATGAAGATTGTCCAAAACTTATAAAGATTATATTGGTTATATCTTTAGTCAATGTTAGGTCTCAACACACCTCCTCAAGCCTAGGCCTAGACATATGGAGCATGGACAACTGCAGATGACCCAATAACAACACCCTCTAATACCTAGGAATTAACGGTGTAGATGGACCTGCATCTGCGGATTGCTCCGTAAGTCCGCGGACAACGAGCCTTTTTTTTTTTTAAACTCATATGACTATGTTTAATTTTTGAGTCAAATTCGTGAAGTCTACAAACTTGGTGGACATAATCCGTGGGCCCACAGGCTAACCCATGAACTCCACTAATTAGTTTTTCACATATTATGACTTTAATATTTGGTTTGTATTTGAATTTTTAAATTATTATGATATTAAAACTATGTTTAGCTGATGTATATTTACCATTTGGATTATTTTAAGATAATTTTATGCTTTTATTATTGAAAGTTTGAGACTATTATACAAGTATTTTGGGAATATTTTTAGTCTTAACACTTGCATATTTAGTATTTAAGACCATTCTAAATATCGGTAAATTTTAGTATGATGGATTTTAGCTTAAAAATAAAAGGATTTTTTTTTCTAATTTTATGCATTTTTATTTTTAAGGTTTAAGGTTTAGGGTTTAGACCCATGCATTGGTCCATTTATCCTCAAGTTTTGACAGGCCCGGATACATAATTTCTTTTATTTTGCAGATTGGACTTGTCTGGCTTGTATAAAATGTGAGTTTCATGGGCCAGACTTGAATGGTTCATATACCCACCCCTCCTAGAAATAGATAAACAGTGCATGTTTTGATAAACTTTTTTAGTAGTATTTATAAGAGAAAAAAATAAGAAGGAAGACTTAAATAAACTTCTTCGTAATAAGTTAAAATTAAGTTTTCAGAGAAGCTAATATGAGAGAGCTTATGGAGAAACTTATCTCATTTTTCTTAGAATTTAGACTTGGTGCCTAATTCAGTAGACTTATAAGAACTAAAATGGCCATACATCTAATCAATTTAAAATCTCTACAACAATAAGTGTGTTTCGAAACACGCTTAAACCACCTCCAAATGAAGGTTATCCGAATTCTAATGCACAAACATAGAAGCAACTCTACAGATGGATTGACGGTTAGTTGAACTGAACTAGTTTCCAAACACACCCTAAATGTTTAAAATGTCACTCAATGTAAAAATAAATAATAACACTAATAATTTGTGCAAAGAGAATAACAACCTGGCAGTGATATCAACTATAATTTTCATATATTCCAAGAGTCATTTGCTTAAGATTCTATTCATCCGTGGATGAAGACTGACTAAACATGTATATATCTAGCTACAGCTACTCTTACAAGTTACAGGCATTGTTAGAAGTTGTAAATGCAAAGGCAAAGGCATTGGAAGTTGGAACTCACAGTCATAGTAGCGCCTCTCGAGGTTCTTATAGCCAATAGACTGGGCGGCATCAATGGGCTTCCCGGGAGGGTAGGGCCTCTGCCTGAAATTCCAGAGCCCAAAAAAGAACTGCCGGGCGAAATCCCAGAACTTGTCATCAGCCTCCTGCTGGGTCTTCTGGGCCTTGCGGGGCATGGGCCTTCCGTCGAGCCCAATGACGTTGGGCACCGCCTTCCAGAGGTCCCAATCCTCCTTGTGGTAGGGCCTCTCGTTGTCCTTGACCTCCAACTCGTTCATGGTGTCGAGAATCTCCTCGGCGCGCGCCATGAACTGCACCACGGGGCTGCTCCGGAGCTTCTCCACCAGCTCCGCGTTCTCCCTTATTTCCTCCTCCGTCGCGCCCTCGCGCTTCTCGAAGACGCTGCCGTCGTCGGCGGCGCGGGCCTTCAGGATTTCTTCGACCTCCGGGGTGTGCCGGTGGTCGGGGGGGTTCTGGCACTCCCAGAGGACCTGGTGGGCCAGCTGCTCGTAGGGGCCGGGCTCAGCGGGCTCCGGGTTGGGCTTGGGCTTGGGCTTGGGCTTGCCGCGGAAGGGATTGGGGAGGGTGATGGCGGCGAAGTTGGGATGGGCGTGGGGTTCGGGGAAATTGAGGATGTTGTTGGGGAGGGAAGGGAGAGAGAGAGGGTTGGGGGGTTTGGAGAACCAGTTTCCCCCGAAGGGGTTCAAGTTGATGGAAGACATTGTTGGAAGAAAGAAAATGGAGAATGGGAGATAGTAGAGTGAGAACTGAGAAACCCAAGTGAGAAGTGTTTCTGTTGAGAAGAGATAATGGAACGGGCCCAACTGGATCTGACTAGATGAACCTTCAAAGTTTTCCTTTCAAGCCCAATTTAGGTTATGTTTGCAATCGATCAGACTTATTATTTTATTTTAAAGAGTTTAGGGTTTAGTAATTAAACAAATTTTTAAAATGATATTATAAATCATAATAATATTTAAAATAATGAAAAGTAACTAACGATCACTCTATTAATTTTTGTTTATAAAAAATAAAATTAATAATAAAATATGAAATCATACACACACATATAATATACTTTCATGGAGTGTAACATATATTTTCAAATTAAGTTTAATGGTCGAGTATAATAATAATACTAACAATTAAATGTGAGTGACATACCTAACTTCATGAGGTGCTGTTAAGTTTGATTCTTGGCATGATAATTAAAATTACTCGCAATGTGATGAATATAATACTTGTGAAATGTTTGGTTGAAAATTACACATATACATTGTCTATTAATTATGTGTTCATGCAAATGGGTCAAAAATCATGACCATGCAAACAAATTCTCTCCTTTGACAATGACAAAGGTTAGAGGAAGAACATGGTTATTACCATCTTGTATTGTTACAATAAGTATTATGTCCTAATACTTTCAATATGAATTAGTGTTATCAACTTGTATCAAAGACTTAAAATATTTGAAAGTATCACAACATAACTTGAACGTCCAAAATAGATGATTAAGACGATTGCCAACAAAAAAAAACCATCATGACACAAGTCGTAATAGGAGCTTGAGGCAATTTGTTTCATGTAATTAAGCCATCTTGGATGAAAAACATATCGATTATTCTCAAACACCATATATTTTAGCAATTACCTTTTGTTTTGTCATCTAAGCCTTTTTGCAACAGTCCGACATATCACTACACTTAATATAACACGATTACTATGCAATAGAAAATACAAACTAATAAACTACATTAAGGTCCTCATGACCATTACCCACAAGCCAATCATTCAAGTTAATCATGTCTTACTCTCATATCAAATATGATCATTACAATCCAACCACAAGGAAAAGAAAGAGTAAGGTTGTGAAAGAATCAACATAACAAGTAGTGAAATTATACTATACAACATAAACAATTTAAACAACATCAAGTTAGCTCATAACATGATATTACCTTACTATCATCATTCACAACATGCAAGAGAAACATACAACTTACACCATATATTCCAACAATCAATTAAGGATTTTACCCTTCAAAATCATACCTTACTTAATTAGTCACTTCATACATGCATGACTTAACTTAACCCCTATATAGTTCTACATTGGTCACTTATAATCAGTATGACTCGATTTGACACTTATATTGTCCCACATAAAACATAGAAGAGACAAATTAAAAATAACTTCCCATTCAAGAGTCATTTTACTTACTAAAACGTTTTCAACTTTGGGCTCTTGGAACACCACAACTTATATACACTCAATGAGTTATTTTAATTTTTAGAATAATTTTTACTCTCCTATAGTTTGTATGTATCTTAACTTAAACATGTATCTCATCACCACATGTTATACAACTTAACAACATAATCAACCAACAACTTAGTAAACTCTTATTCATAAGCAACTTACAACTAAAACAACTTTAAATATCAATATACATCATCTTATACGAATAATGAACTATAATTACATAAAATTCATTATGTAAGTGAATCATCATATATCAACACGTAGACAACTTAAAACATCAAATTTCATTTCTATAAATCACTCTCGACGCCATTCTCCTGACACTCAGTGTCATTAAGGTAGAGAGTCTCTAACTCACCCACGCTCGACACCAAACCACTTGCACCTAACAAGAATGAGGCAGAGAGCTCTTGTGCCAATCGTGCTTGGCGTAGTTAAACTTATGTTCGATCTCATTGAGGTAGAGAGCCTCTAGCTAACTCACGCCCAACGTTACAAAACATGCGCTCAACCTCATCCAGGTAAAGAGCCATTGACTTGATTACGTTTGGTATCATTCATCTTGGGTCCGATGTTACTAAGTCAAAGAGTTCCTAGAGTAATCACGCCTAGCGCCTTTCATTTCTATGCCTAGTGTGACCAAGTCAAAGAGTTCCTCACTAAACCATGCCTAGCACTATCAATCCCACACCTAGTGTCATTAGGGCAGAGATACCCTAACTTGAGCCATGCCTGATGCCATGGATGCACACCCGACGTGATGATGATTTTTTCACGTTGTAGAATCACCAATTTGGCTCAAAACTTGCAATTAACTCAAAAAATGCAGCATGCAACACAACATTCAATATATAGGCAACATATGAATCAATTTAAGTGAAAACTACAACATGCAACCACCAAAACTCAAAATCATTGAATATTCCAAAGTTACCTTCAAGAATGACATTTTGAACAACATCATTATCTCATGATTTCAACCAATCTCAATTACCAATGATGATTCCAGGCAACAAACAATTATAATTCAATAACTTTACAAACTCTCCTTACCTCGAATCGTCCAAAAACGAGAAAAAGAGAGGAAGAAGGAAAAAGAACTCAAACTCCCCGCTCAACCTTAAATTTTTTACTTCCAAGCTTCGAATCTAACAATTTATTGTCATTGCTCAATTGAGGGAAGGATCTCACGAGGTTCCAAAAGAATTAGAAGAAGCAAGATTTTCTTTGACTCCAAAGCTTATCTCTCTAGCTTCTCTCTAACTTTTCTTTAGATATGAACTTATGATGTTTATGTCTTAATAAAAACCTTAAATACCCTTCCCTAAACTTAGTCAACTTGATTCTAACTAAAACTACCTTAACAAAAATTTAATTCTCAAGGATTCCTTAACCCTTAGAATCTAAAACAACTATAACAAAATAATAAATACAATAATTTAACAATTATTACATAGTGTTACACTTTCAATATGAAATTTTTAACTCAATTTGCAATGTTATAGAAGTCATATGTAATTCAAACAAAAAAAAAAAGAAACAATTGTTTCAAATATGATAAACTGTGTGGAGAATGAAAAATTTATAAGAAACAAAATATAATATTGTCATTAAGGACCCAAAAAAAATATTTAAAAAAAAAATAACCAAAACAAATTGTTGTAGGCCCTAATTGGCATTGTTATTAGGTAAAAAAGATAACGTGACAAGAGTGTTGTTGTGTTGACTAGAGACACCCCTATTAATGTTGATCTCATGTAAAGCATACTACAGTCAACTTGTAATAGTGATGAGTAAGGTCTCTCCTTAAGGGGTTTGTTCATAGATTGATTCTCAATTAGTTTATAAAATTAATAAATAAATACATATACTATATTCAAGCATGTTCATTGTTTGATTCATTAAAATAAAAGTTCAAATTGATAAAACTTAAAAGAATTAACAAGCAAATGTTCAAGTAGCTAGTAAAGAAATTCATATTCAAGAAGTTTAGTATTGAATTTCACTTCTTATACCTTTTAGTGACCTTGAAACCACATATATGTTAATCACTCTTTCACTATTTTGATCAAGATTAAATTCACTTCATACCAATTTCTTGATAAATAGATTATAATATTTCTGTGTTGAATACCAATTCCTTGCATATCCAAAAGGGAAAATTATATTAAGAAAAGTCATTTTTAAACTAGGGATTGGTAGACGGTTTATTTCAAATCTTGATTTCAAAAATATTTTCCAATTGAATTCTAAATCTAAATCAATTTATGAATGATGAAAATGTAAATGTTGAAAGAACGAAAATGAAACTACAAAATAATGAATATATATATATATATATATATATATATATATAAAGATTAAAAATCACATAAAATACAATAAAGAGGTGTGTTAGATTGAAATTTTATGAGACTTTTAACCCGAAAAAGTTTTGTAGATTTTAAAAGACTTCAAAAAATATAATGACTTTTAAGATTTTTTTAAAGATTTTTTAAGAATATTGCCTTTTAAGATATTTTTTAAAAAGACTTTTATAATCAAGATTTTGTAGTATGAATTTTAATGAATTTATATCATAAGATTTCAAAGGACAATATGAAATTTTTAAAATAATAATAGAATTAATAAAAATAATATAAATGATAACGTTTGAATAAAGGAAAATAAAATTAGTACAATTTTTTCAATATTTTAATGAACACGTGATTCTAGTTTCATGTTCTCCTAAGTAACATTTGTATACATATAGTTCTTCATGAATTGATATTTTCTCATGCATGCTACTGAATTTGAATAATATGTTCTAATTTTTTATATTTAATAACGGGCGGCAACACTGACAAGCATGACGGGTTGACTCATTAGCTTGAAAGGTCAATCTAGATTTGGTTATTTATTTTTAATAACGGGCGGCAACATATAGTTCTTCATGAATTGATATTTTCTCATGCTTGCTACTGAATTTGAATAATATGTTCTATTTTTTTATATTTAATAACGGGCGGCAATATTGACAAGCATGACGGGTTGACTCATTAGCTTGAAAGGTCAATCTAGATTTGGTTATTTATTTTTAAACTCAAAAAAGATAGGGTCAATCAAACTAGTGAAAATTAGGTCAGAAAGGTACTGAGTCTATTTGGCTCAATGATTTTTTACTTTTAAGTTACACGTAAAAGTATTTAAAATAAATAATTATTTTCAAGTTATATACACACATATTAGTTTACTTATATTTAAGTTGATATTGCATATGACTTAAATAGTTAAACTCTCACTCTCATAATCACATATTCAAGGTTTTATTTTTATCTTTTTTGAAGGTATATATTTCACATACTAATTTTATAAATAACCTAAAAAATTTATCTTAAGTTGTGTTTGCATGAGAAATTTAAAAGTTGAGATGCTTAAAATTTTAATTACTTTGATAAGATAATTTGATTAAAATTTTTTAAAATTTAAATAATTTATATATAAAATTATCTTTTAATATATGTTTAAAATTTTGATATTTCAATATTAAATTTTACTAAAAACAAATAGTTAAATT